GTAAGTCAATAAATGTAATCCAGCATATCAACAGAGCCAAGGTCAAGAATCACATGATTATCGCCACAGATGCAGAAAAGGCCTTTGATAAAATTCAACATTCATTCATACTAAAAGCTCTGGAGAAAATAGGAATAGAAGGAACATTTCTAAAAACAATAAAAGCCATTTATGACAGACCAATAGCCAATATTATACTTAATGGGGAAAAGCTACAACCAATCCTCCTAAAAACAGGAACAAGGCAAGGATGTCCACTGTCTCCACTCCTCTTCAACATAGTCCTAGAACCCTTAGCCAGGGCAATAAGGCAAGAAAAAGACATTAAAGGGATCCGCATAGGGAAAGAAGAAGTTAAACTATCCCTTTTTGCAGACGACATGATACTATACCTCCACGATCCCAAAAACTCCATCCCCAAACTTTTAGAAATCATAAGTCACTTCGGCAAAATAGCAGGATACAAAATAAACCCACAAAAATCAGTTGCCTTCCTATACACTGATAACGCACAGGAAGAGAGGGAAATAAAGGGAGCAACCCCATTCACAATAACCTCCCAAAAAATAAAATATTTAGGAATTAACCTAACCAAAGATGTAAAAGAGCTATTTAATGAGAACTATAAAAAGTTAAAGAAAGAAATTGCAGAAGACACTAGGAAATGGAAAGACCTCCCATGCTCCTGGATAGGCCGACTTAATATAGTAAAGATGGTGATACTTCCAAAACTAATATACAAATTCAATGCAATTCCTATTAAAATCCCAATGACGTACATCACTGAAATACAGAAAACAGTCCAAAAATTTATATGGAACAACAAAAGACCTAGAATAGCCAAAACAATTCTAGGGGATAAAGACAATATGGGAGGGCTATCCATGCCGAACTTCAAACTCTACTACAGAGCTATAATCACAAAGACAGCATGGTACTGGCACAAAAACAGACCCGAAGACCAATGGAACAGAATAGAAGATCCAGATATAAATCCACAGGCCTACAGCCAGTTGATATTCGACAAAGGAGCCAAAGACATACAATGGAAGAAACACAGCCTCTTCAACCGCTGGTGCTGGGAAAACTGGGCAGCCACATGCAGAAAACTAAAAGTGGACCCCAGCCTATCACCATGCACCAACATCAACTCAAAATGGATTAAAGACCTTAACATTAAACCTGAATCTCTGAAACTACTACAGGACAGAGTAGGAGAGACACTTGAACTAATAGGCACAGGAAGGAACTTCCTGAACAGAGTCCCAGGGTCACAACAAGTTGGAGAGAGACTCGACAAATGGAACTACCTTAAAATAAAAAGCTTCTGCACAGCTAAATCTATCGCAACTAAGCTAGAAAGACAACCAACGAATTGGGAAAAAATATTTACCAGCAATATATCAGACAAGGGGTTAACATCCTGTATATACAGGGAACTCAAGAAACTAATCCCTCCCAAACCTAACAAACCAATTACTAAATGGGCAAGGGAACTAAAAAGGGACTTCTCAAATGAAGAAATAAAAATGGCAAAGAAACACATGAGGAAATGTTCATCATCCCTGGTGGTGAAGGAAATGCAAATAAAGACAACCCTGAGATACCACCTTACCCCAGTCAGAATGTCCCACATCCACAAATCAGCCAACGACAAATGCTGGAGGGGATGTGGAGAAAGAGGAACCCTATTACACTGCTGGTGGGAATGTACACTTATACAACCACTTTGGAAAGCAGTCTGGAGGGTCCTTAGAAAGCTAAAGATTGACCTCCCTTACGACCCAGTCATACCACTTCTAGGCATCTACCCTGAACAACAGGAACCAATATACAAGGACACGTGCACCATGTTTATTGCAGCACTGTTCGCAATAGCTAGGATATGGAAACAACCTAGGTGCCCCACCACAGATGAATGGATCCAAAAATTGTGGTATCTATACACAATGGAATATTATGCAGCCATTAGAAATGACAAAATAATGGCATTTGCAGGGAAATGGATGGAGCTAGAAGGAATCATGTTGAGCGAGGTTAGCCAAGAACGAAGAGACAAACGGTACATGGTCTCCCTGATAAGTGGATGCTAAATCCAAAAGGTTAGGTGATACGACAAAACTAACAGGACTTAAGAAACAAAGAACTCCCGCTCATCTGGTTGAACCACTACTAAATATCCCCATGCTGCTGATCACAAATATGGTATATAACATGTGAACACTGTTATATATTACAGACTGTGGTAGACAATTTGCTCCAGGGAAGTTAGGATGAACTTGTGACTTTGAAATTATGTAATCATTTAATCACAATCAAAAAAAAAAAAAAGAACCTCAGGGAAGGGAGGGAGGGAGGGGATGGTAGGGGGAAAACAATGGAGGGGGTAACAATGTTCAAGAGGAAGTGTACTCATAACCTCACTCATGTAACTGTAACCCTCTGTATAGTAGCTTTACAATAAAAAAAAAAGTAAAAAAAATAAATAAATAAAATAAAATATATGCTGAAAAAAAAATACACTGACAAAGTGATACCTGCTAATATTAGAATTTCTTAAACTCTTCTCCTTTCACATACTTCATCATTGAATCATAAGACTGTTCTGTTGACTTTGCCTCCAAATATATAAATCCTTAATGCAGCTGCCTCACACAGCACCGGTTCTTACAACCTCAGCTTCTGCCATCCAGTTCCAAATCATCTCCATCTCTTCACTTAGCTTGATCTAAGAACCATTTAAAATGGTGTTCCTATTTCTAAAATCAAATTAAAGAAGTGGCTCTGTGGCTCAAAAGCACTAGCCTTGAGCTCAGGGACAGCACATAGGCCCTGAGTTGAAGGCCCAGCCCAGGCCTTGCAATTTACAAAAATAAATTAGTTAAATAAAATTAAATAACTATTTTAGAAATTTTTCACCCATTCTTTAAGCTTCTTATTTATGCACACACATGTAGAATACTGATATTATATATGATTGTAAGTCATATTGTATAAGATATAAATGGTTCTATATGAATATGTATATGACTTTGTGTGAGTATATACATAAGAAGTCAACTATTAACTCTTAGAATTCTTTTTGCTCTACCATGTGTGCATATATTAAACTCAAATTCTTTGTATAGGGACTGCACTATAGGCTAGGCAAAGGGGTCTATATATCTGTCACTCCTCTTGAACATAAGTGGAGATGATGATGGTATATCACTTCCATGCCTGTGCCCAAAGAAGTATCAGTCAGTACACAGTAGAGGTACTCACACACACTATTTACCATAGTCAAGCAATGGGATCCGCCTAGGTACATGTCAGCTGATAAATGGTGGGTGGGAATGTCATATATGTATGCAATGGAATATTACTTGGTCATAACAAAGAAAGAAATTTCTGTAGTTTTCAGGTAAATGGAGAAATTGGAGGCCATTATGTTTTAAGAACATAACCCTGATATGTATCCAAATGTTTTTTTTTCTTTCATGCAATTGTTTCTAACACATTTATAAGATTATTTCTTTGTTGCTTTGTATGTCCCTCCCCCACAGTATAACCCCTGCTTTCACTGTATTTGATGTCGGTATAATTTGTGGAGGGGAAGGGGAAAAACAAATCGTTTAAATAGGGATACAGGTGGACCCATTGCAACAATGTACAAGTCGTTATGTTGAAAATGAACTTTACAACTTTGGTGGGGGGGAAGCGGGGAGGATTGGGTGGGGGGGCAGGGAAAAAAAGGAAATTATTATAACATTATTAAATTGAAGGGTCACTGATCACAGATAATTGTAAAGTTGAAATAAAACTGGGCTTTCTACAATGTGTGTTTATAATAACATTCCAATTATCTTGCAGTTATTTTAAGAACAAAAGTCATAATACAGAGGTTATTCAAGTAATTACCAAATAATAACAAAAACTCAAATACACCTCTCTGTTTAACATTATTTTTTTCTGATCAGTCAACTTATTGCAATGCCAGAATTTCATACCTTTCTATTACCTTGTTGGTTAACACAACAGGGAAATAATGAAAATATATAATAATGAAATTGACATTCTTGAAAAAGGTACAGATTTCAACAGTGTTGGGGAATGTTACCTTAGCTACATATTGAAATTGCAGAAGCATTGACTAAGATCTGAGTACATGATGTGTGGTGAGTTGGCAAATTAATAGATGTAAACCTATAGGTATATAATATAATAGTTGCTTTGAAAGAAAGTTCATGTCAACATGTTAAGAGAAAAACAATGGAAACTGATGTTTCTCCAGTTTATTTTGTGGAAAGACTCCACTCTGACAAGACGATATGGATATTAGTGATTAGTTGAAAATACTTATTTGATTCCACAAACAGGTACATAGTTAAAATTACATATACAATTTCATTATCTTTGTTTTATATTCCAAGGTATGTTCCAATCAAGTATTTTAACATGTACTAGAAATGCATTGAATTTCTCACCCAATGAGTGAGTATCTTCGTGGAATAGGCATGCTCGAAATTATTTCATCATATGATGAAAATCTTCTATTTGTGAGTAGTTAATTCTTCCTACAGCTTTTAACTGAAATACATTCTTTTCTCAGGGCAAGCACTTGGACAATGTGAAGAGTTATAAAACTCAAACCTGTTCTTTTTTTTAAAAACCTGTACTTTCTTGTCCTGCCCTAATTGTTATGAACCATGTGTGTATGTCCCAAAGCCACAGTTTTAGATGTCTAGATTCTAGTACTTAGTCCTTTCAATGAGCTGTATGAATATTTTGTTTTTATTCATATGTAACTATGTGAAATAATTAATAATTTTCCCCAACTTAAGTGCTGTTATGACATATATATATATTTCAGGACGAATAAGAATAAATAGAAAAAAAGACACTGTAAAATCAAGAAGTATACATTACCTTATATAATCATTTAACATAGAAAAAGAAACCAAGTAATCAGATAATCCAACTAATTGGATGTATAGTTTTCTTCCATAGAGCACAACCTCTTATAGAAGAGGTTTCTGTAAGATCTTCCTCAGGGCCTCTTTCACATCTTTATTTTTCAAACTATAGATGAGAGGATTCAGCATGGGGATCACTACGGTATAAAACACAGAGACAACTTTGTCCTGCTCCATTGAATAGCTGGATGTGGGTCGCAGGTACATGAAGAGAATGGTCCCAAAGAAGATGGTGACAGCCAGAAGGTGGGAGGCACACGTGGAGAAGGCTTTGCGTCTTCCTTCTACGGAAGGCATCTTCAAGATGGCAATAAGGATGCACAGGTAGGAAATGAGAACAATCGCAACACAGCTGATGACATTAAAGCTGGAGGAAACCATGATCACAATGCCATTGATGCTCGTGTCAGAGCAAGAGAGTTTGAGCAAGGGCGGGGTGTCACAGTAGAAGTGGTTGATCTTGTTAGAGGCACAGAATGACAACCTGAATGTCATCCCTGTGTGGATGGCGGCATTTCCAAAGCCTGCTAGAAAGGAAGTGGCGACTAACAAGAAACAGATTCTCCCAGACATGAGAACCGGATACAGTAGGGGATTCCAAATTGCTGCATAGCGATCATATGCCATCATGGCCAACAGGAAGCACTCGGTTCCTAGAAAGGACCCAAAGAAGAAGAACTGGGCAGCACACCCATTGAATGAAATGGATTTCCTCTCAGTTATGAGGTTCACCAGCATCTTAGGAGTAACAGAAGAGGAGTAAGAGGCATCAACAAAGGAAAGACTGCTGAGAAAGAAGTACATGGGGGTGTGGAGACAGCGATCAACCTTAATCAGGGCAATCATTCCCAAATTACCCACCATGGTGGCCAGATAGATGGACAGAAACAAGGCAAACAGGACACCTTGAAGATCTGGATTGTCTGAGAGTCCTAATAGGATAAATTCCACCACTTCTGTTTGATTTCTGCCCTGAACCTCTTGCATGTATCTGATCATTCTGAGCTGCAGCAAAAGAAAACATAGATCAATGTATTTCATGAGTTCCATACAGGGTAGATCTATAGAAGTAGTTTACTAACAGATATAAATGACATGGTAAGTATTTTAATTGACAAATTAGCCTACTCATTGTGTACTTTTGAAAAAAATGACACAATTAAATTAAAGCATTTAGTATACCTTTTCTAGATTAATTGACTAATTAAAAATACTGAGAGCTAACAGAAAAAAATCTCTAGAAGCAAACAAGAGATATAGTTAAATTTCAAATATGAGGCACTTTAAAAGTTTTAGAGTCAAGGAACAAAATAAAATTGACCACCATGCAGTCTAAAGGGTCCAAACTTTATGCTAAATTTCCCTAACTCACCATCTTCAATGAAAAATTGCAACAGTAAAGTATTGAAGATTTTTCACAATTAACTTCAACAATTAGAGAATCCTGACTTAAAGATGAATGAATATCCCTGATTTTAAAAAATGGAAGAATTGGTCATGGTATTAAAAAGGCCATTAACAATCAGGTTCACAGGATCATAACAGAAATTCTTACATAGTAGTTTGATCATAATAACCACAATGTAAGCCGGGCACTGATGGCTCACGCCTATAATCCTAGCTACTCAGGAGGCTGAGAGCTGAGGATCGTGGTTCAAAGCCAGCCCAGGCAGAAAAGCCTATGAGACTCTCATCTCCAATAAACCACTAGAAAACCGGAAGTGGTGCTGTAGCTCAAGTGGTAGAGTGCTAACCTTGAGCTTAAGAGCTGAGGGACAGCACCCAGGTCCAGAGTTCAAGCCCCATAAAAACACCAACTATGTATGTATGTATCATTCCAAAGCCTTCTAGAAAGGATCTTGAATATCTTTACCATAAAAGATCAATGTGGGCAGATAGATATCTTTATCTAATTTGAGTGTACTATATTATAAATATGTGCCCAGAACACTGGATATTCAGTTAATACATGGGCAAATTAGTTGAACGGATAACTTTCAAAGGAATAAGTACAAACACCTTTTTTAGGTATTTATTAGATAACAAAAAATGTTACATATAGGAAGTAAAAGTCAATAAGCATTGAGATTCCATCTCATACCAGTCAGAGTGATTATCATTAAGGGAACAAACAGCAAGGATGTGAGTCAACGGGTCCCTTATTCACTGTTGGTTGGAATTTAACTGAATATAGCCACTATGGAAATTAATATGTAGATTCCTCATATGATCCAGTAGATGCATGTACACAGAAGAATCCAAGTCAACATCTAATAGAGATACCTATAGAAGCCTGTTTACAGCAACACTGATTAAACTAGCCAATACATAGTATCAGCCTCAATGACTATCAGTTGATGAATGAATGAGTAAACTATGGTACACACAAACACAACAGATACATACACATACGTGCACATACACACACACACATACACACACACACACACACACACACACACACACACACACACACACACACATAGAGGGCTGCCTTGCCAAAAAGATTAATTATATTATGCTCTTTTTAGGAAAATGTATGAAACTGTAGATTATCATGTTCAGCAAAGTAAGCCAGGCTAAGAAAGACAAACATCAAAGGTTTTCTCTTATTTGAGAAATTTTGTCTTAAAAATGACAAGACTGTAAAATGGGCTCTGTTTGGCTGTAGATATCAGCAGGAGGGAGAGTCTATGGGAACAAGGGCATTTAGGCTGTTCACATAAATGCAAGAAAAACTGAGCAACCTATTGAAATTGTTTGAAGAAGGGGAAGTAATGAAGGATAATGACAAGTATATGAAATTAGTAAATCATTCCTTTGATCTTCATTTCATTGATCTAGATGAACACACAAGCTCCTTTTCTGTGGAATGATCTTAATGTGTAAACTTTAAGAACAGCAGCTTTGTGATCCCCTTACCCTCCCAAAACAGATTAACTTGCATACAAGACAAAAGGTACAGATACCAAACATAGTGATAAAGGGGAAACAACAACAACAAAAACCAAAAGGGGGAACAGTGCAACAGTGATGCTCACTAGACAGATACTGTGTTGAAAATGAACTATGCAATTTGTGGGGAAGAGGGGTCATGAGTGGGAGAAAACCTGGGAACAGGTGACACTGGTCAAAAAGAAATATTCTCACTATCTGACTTATATAACCAGAACCTCTCTGTATATCACCTTTACAAGAAAAAGAAAAAGAAAATCATCTCCAGAAGTAAGGAAAAAAGAAAGAATGGATCTTTCTCCTCTTTCTCAAATATAGTTTTCCTGTGAGTGTAAGTCTAGCAAAAATAGTAAAAAGAATAAAATGCCTTAGGTGTGCTAAACACAGAAAGCAACGATGAATTTAAAAAGCAAGTAATCCAACATGCTAAATCTTTCTTTCTGATGATTTTCTTTAATCTATAAGCACAGCGTTATTATGTCTATATTTATTTTCATCAAATCTTATAGGAATAGATACTGTTACTATGTTCTTTGAGTTCATTACAAATAATTAACAAGAATCAAAGCACTAGCCTAGTATAGTTTACATTTATATCAAGTCAATGAAGTTCTTATTCTAGTAACATTTGCCATCACTTAGACTGTCCCCAACAATAATAATGGATTAGAACACTGGTACATACTGCAGAAAGAGTGTATTTCTCAGAATATTAACATTACTTCTGGTGAGAAATTATGATTACAGTTGCTGAAATTTGTCTTTCTTACAATGATCATTTATTAATCAGCATTATGAGCAAAATATTATCTTCTCTGCATCACATGACATCCATTATATACTCTGTCTCCTCTGTTTTATACTGTGTCTTGCTCTGTAACCTAGGCTATTCTCCAGTTTTATCTATTGTGCACACTTTATCCCCTATTTTTCCAAATTTCCCTCACATTGTTAAGATTTTGTAGTCAAGCTTCAATCCAGTAGAATAACGATCTGGACTATAAATTTCTAAGTATTTCTGAAAATAATAATAATGATATTTCCTGAGAAACTGCTGGTGATAAAAATGGCCTTTCGGCAGTCTTATTTTCAGTTGCTTACAATTCTCTTAATGACTTACAAATTATAGTAATAAAAATAAATGTATTATGTATTTACTGTATTTTCTTAAGCCCTCAGGGTCTTATGTAAATTCAGGCCCATGGGTAAGTAAAGAAATTAACAGAATTGCACATTTTTCTTCAGTTTAGTAAGTATGAGAAAATAATTCTTTATACCTTTCTCTTACCTTCTATAACTTCAAGACTCTTGTGTGATGCTTTTGACTGCTCCTGTTCTATGTCTAAATTTACTAAAACACAGCAAAAAATAATCAGAGAAGAAAACCACACAGATCCTTCCTGTTAAAGAAGACACATTCTCTAATTTTCTTTTAGGTGAAGCAGGAATTAGGGAGTCAGGAAAACTTCACTCTGCACTCAACAGAAATGAGTCTGACTTTGTTTCCTATTTCCATAAAGATAAATACACCCATCAAGATAAAATACCTTTCAAAATAAAGGCTCTGTTTCTCTGTCTCTATGGTGCAGTTGTATTCTCTATAACAGTCTTCAGAACAGACAAGAGTCAGCATCCTGACTTACTTTAAGTAGGACAGACTTCTTGTTCTTTGGTCTCTGGGGACTAACCCTCAGGTCACTTTATTATAATCCAATTGCTTTCTGTTCTCACATTAAGAAAATCACAAGTCTCATACCTGTCTGTTTGGTGTTTGTTTGTTTGTTTTAAAATGTGCTTTGCTTTACCCTTGGGATATCTGAGCCAGTACAGAATGAAGTTTGAGTCCCAAATTACTCAGCACCATGAATTACCTTTCTCCTGTCTCCCCTGAGAACTGGGATTACTTCCATTTGGGAAAAATGTTAAGAGATTCCACACAATAGTAAGATATCTCTGCCTTTGGCCACACTTTCTACACACAATTTCTGTGTGTGTGTATAAGAGGTTAGGCTACTTGGATAATTGGGAGGGGACAGTGAAATAGAGGAAGTTGGAACAACAGAAGCTTTGAGGCTTGAAACCCAGCCTCTTTGCATCAGTGATTATGTGGCTTGTATATTTCACAGCCTCTCCCTAAGGCCTACTTCAAAGGGTGACTCTTGAGATAGCATAATGAAAGAATACTGCTGCATCCAGTACATACAAATCATCAATAAGTAAGAGATAACTTCACCATATGACACTTTACCCACCATTAAGACTAAGAAATTTTTATCAGCTTAGACAGTCCAGCTTAAAGCTGATATAATGCTCGACTGTTTAATTGTATCTTCCATTTCGAGGATACCAGGTCTGAAACACATTGATCAAAGATAATCAGTGTTTTATGATGGTTTATGCTCTTTGTGCTACTTACATAAGATTATAATTAATTTATCTCAGCATCATTTAAATAGTGCAATTTGTATTAAGTGCTAGAACACAGACTTTAAAAGATGTATTACCATCAGCAATTACAATTCAGATAATAAATCTTAAGCTACAACTACTGTTTTAGTCTTCTGATCATTTCTTCACTTTGTTTTATTTTTATTGTTATAGTGTTATATATATAGAATTTTTCTAGATTTTATATTCTAGTATCCATATTGTAATATCAACCACTTCAAGCCTTTGTCAAAAGGCCTATACATATAATCTATAGGACCACTCAATCATTCCCAAAATCATAGCATGTAGGCATCTTTAAACAATAATAAACAGGGCAGACAGACTGAATCATTATGAGTATCTTCAAATAAATCCCTGTTCTGCTTTTCTTAATCATTAAGACTGAAGGAAGAACAAGGGAAATCTCCTGGGGAATGACAGCTCAGCAAGAATTTGTCTCTCTAGTGAATGCTGAAAATAATTTCATCATATTTCTTCTGGGAAATTATCTGTGACTCTGACATTTAAATGGCTCCCGCATACAGGATAGGGGCGTCATGAACAGTAGCTCTGAAACAACCACCTGGACCATTTAAGAATATTTCCACAGTGCT